TTCTTCTTCTTCTTCTTCTTCTTCTTCTTCTTCTTCTTCTTCTTCTTTTCTTCTTCTCCTTCTCCCTCTCCTCCTCCTCCTTCTCCTCCTTCTTCTTCTTCCTCTTCTACAAATAAAGATGACCAAGAGGTTCACGATAGCTTAGAAGATTGAAGGGTGCATTTTAAAATATCAGTGTGATTTAGCGGTCTAAACAGAGAATTAATCAGAAGGCAGTCAGGTGACATGATGTCTGGGGGGCTGTTTTACTACTGGGATTGGACCTCTTTAAGTCTCCAGGGCCTGTTGTATGCAAAACTGTGGGAAAAAAAAATGAATCACTCTTTTATAGTTTTGGGGAGCTACATAAATTTTCCTTTTGTGCAACCAGCTCTAAAATTATCTTTTCAGGATATATGCCAAAAGATAACTAGTTGTACATTTATAATTTTAAAATTTATTCAAAAACAAAGAAGACACATATACAAGTTTAACTTAATTAAAGGATAAATAACAAAAGATAAGACTATGGTAAATAGAAGATTCTGTAGGAATTCCAACTCAAAATCACAGACCCAGAGTTCTAAAATCAGGCAGCTATGATTCTCTCTCACACAGCCCATCTTTATTTCCTTTTCAAAGAAACCCCAACAGCATCCTTCTAGTCCCTCCAGAAATGCCAAATTGTTTCCCTACTGTCAGAAAAGCTGAAAGGAAAGAAAGGAACTTTGGTTTGAAACTAAGGGGCAGGTAATTAAATCAACCATGAAGAGCAAGAGGGAATCCAAAACATGTTCTGAGAAAGATCCTTCTAGGGTTCCTAGGAGTGAGGAAATCTGGCAGTACCACTTTAAATACCTGACAAGGAGCAAGTTACCGGAGTGCCACTTTCTCTAAGTTAAGGAATAAAAGCAAAAGTTTGTCCTCCTGCAGATTGCTAAGTTTTGCTGTGCTAAACCACAGATGATGGCTGCCCGGCTTGGGCTGTCCTTGTTGGAGGGCATGACGCGCCATAGATTTTTATTTTCACGAAACACACTCCCAGAGGCTTGTGGCCTTCCAGACAGCAGCTGGCGCCAGGCAGAGGCATAGCCTCAGGCCTGAGAAGCTACTGGCTACCACTCTGCTCCTCTCTTGGCTGAGCATCCCTGGCAGCGCTGGCCAGGACCACAGCCGAACTCCCTGATTCAAGCAGACGCTGTTCCCTTCTGGAAAGACCTTGGGGGCTAGCAACTGGAGGTTGCTCTGCGGATTTTAGTCACCGGGAGCTGATTTAAAGGGAAGGAGGGACTAGGCTTGGAGAAGAGCTGATGCCTCTTATAACTCTTGGTGCCTAAAATGAGTGAGATGGTGGCCAAATACAAGGGAGGGAGATAATCGCATTTTGAATATCCAGGACTTCTGGATGCGCCTGCGACCTGTACAGCAACTGTCGATTTGGCAGCAAACCGGACTCAGTCAATTGCAGTTCCTTTCCTACTTCAAGCTTACCTCCCTCAGAGCGGTGCTCCGACTGTCTTCACAGCCTCCAGGTGGGAGGGAGCTGAGCGAGGGGGAATCAAAAGTCAGCTTGCTTTTGCTCTCTGCTGGAGGCAGACGCTCAGCTGGTTGGTCCTAAGCAGATTGGTGTTGGAGGGGGGGAAGCCGGCACTGTTTAGCATCTTTGCTGGCTTGGGGCGGAGGATGCCCGAAGGGTTCTGGGGAAGAGGTTAGGAGTAGAGTTGTGCGGATGATTGGTGAAAGAAGATGATGTGGGGTGCTAGATGCTTCCCTAGCCACCGCCCGGCGCCCCACGGAGAAGAGAGGTGGAAGAGGATGTGGGGGCGGGGGACCGCCTTGCTGCGCAAGGAGCGCGTGGTGGCCAGGGGGGCTGTCTCTTTAAGCGCTCCCGAGGGGCTGGGGCCAGAGGGCGGCAAGCGCGTTGCCATGGCACCGGGGCTGCGGGGGCTGCAGGACCGCTGGGCTCGCTGGGCTCCAGTCGTCTCCAGCAGAGCAAGGCTGAGCAGCTCGTGGGCTACAGCACCCGGGGTTGGTTTGGCCCACCACTGCTAGAGTGCCCGCTGTTGCGGGTGTCGCCTGCTGGGGTCGAGCTGCTGCGGTACCCTCCGCAGCGAGAGACGCACGTCGCGGTCCTCGAGAGCGAGCCCGGCACTTGCAACTTCTGCCTGGCGAGCCTAACTTCTGCGCGGGGTTCGGACTCGAAGCTCCCGAGCGGCGCACGAAGCGCGGCTGGGGCGGTGTCCCCGCCGGCTCACTCTCACGGAGATGACCTCCCCACTGTGGTTCTGCTGCTTCTGCGTCTGGGCCGCCGCCAACTGGCCGCCAGGAAGCGCCCTACAGCACCAGCCCGGCATGTAAGTGGCGCCCGCCAGCTCCGGAACGCGCGGACCGCAGCTGGGGTCCGTGTGCCCCCGCCCTACCCAGGGCGAAACCACGGCAGGGTCAGGGGCAGAGGCTAGGCCTCTCCGGGAAGCGACGGAGGGATGAGGTGCTGCCAGGCAGTATCCATGAGAACTTGGGGATGTCACTGACAGGTGTGAGGCGGGAACGTTAGCACACTCTAGACCTTAGGGAGCGCCACCGCCCAACAGAACTCCTGCCGCTGGAGGTCCGGGGCTGCTTTCTACCTGATTTTCTCCAAGCACTTGGCAGATCTTCCCACTCCCCACCCCCTCGGAGTTTGAGTATATGTGCGCGCGTGGGTATGTGTTTCGCTTAATTTCATGTTTGGGGAGTAACTGGCCACTTTCTACAGTCTTTTGCACGAAATCTCGTCGAACAGGGAATAGCTTGACATTGTGTGTGTGTGTGTGTGTGTGTGTGTGTGTGTGTGTAATCCAATGTGTTCCTACACAGTTCCCCCCCCCACACACACACACCTTTTTGGGAGGTACAATGAAGTCCAAAGAACGGATTATTTCACAGGTCTGATGAGAGAGGCTAGGAGCAAAGCATGTGTCAGCCCGGAGGGAGGCTATTTGCAAGCTTAGCTGGACAGTTACGAGGAAGGGGCACAGGCAGGGTTCCTTTTGCCATAGAAATGGGTAAGGCTAGGAAATGCCCATTCTCGGTCCCGTGCGGAGAGCAGGGAGGAGTTCGTGAAAAGTCTAACAGCCTGGTCTCCTTAACTGGCTGGAGAAGTTTTTTTTTTTTCTTTGCCATATCTTGCTTTAACATCACGATCCTGGGCTTGGAACAGCCTGCTGGAGAACCCAGCTCGAATTCTGCTTTTCCTGTAGTGCTCTCGGGCGGTTATGAGCAGACAGCAAGGCCTTATGAACACTTCATCATTCCCTGTCCTTTTGCTTTTCTGAAATATGAATATTATATCATAGAAAAGTGCTTTAGAGGAATAACCCAAAGCCACTCGTTCCTTTCCTCAGCTTCACTTTTTCCTGTAAGGAAAATAGTCTGGGGTTCATTTCATTTACATTTCAATGTTTCATCTTTTGGGAAATACTGATTCGGTTGGCTGCCTGATCACGGCACAGGCCATGAACTATGAGCAGGGTGTCACTGTCTCACTACTTCTTAACCACATAGTTGCTCAATGTGGATTCGTCTAAAATTTGAGGAGTTACTGAGAGTTTGATTTTCTGAAGTTGATAAGATTTGCACTGTTTACTCTGAAGAGGTGAAACTTAGACTCTTCAGTTTATCTCAGAAGCATCACTCTGGGTAGCCTGCACGTTTGGAAAGCCTTTATCTTACAAATTGCTTTAGCAGAGTCATTGTTAAGTGAACGCTAGTCGCCCTGCTAGGTAGACTCTTTCACCCGCAGCCACTGAACAATCACAGTGGTCATTCACTTCACACACACTCCACTCTTATATGACACAGTGCTCATCTCCTCTCGGTGTTGACTCTTTGGCCTGGAATGATGACATTGCATCAAAGAAATTGTGGCTCTCATAGATACGCCTGCTTTATATGTCAGGTGAGGTGAAGCCTGATACTAAACCCAATATACATTCTCGAAAGACTTCATTGAGCTGAGTTTGCCAAGGAATTGCTAAAGATTCTTAGTGCTTTCTGGTAGGGGAAATCCAGTCATGCTTGTAAGCAGTCCTCTCTGGTGCTGGAGTTTGCTCACCAGGAAGCGCAGTAGGATCTGCTGCCAGGCTGCTTTGTAATTCTTGACATGCAGAATGCAGCCGTGTACAGCACTTGGCTATCACACACACGAGTGTTTGTTAAATGGGAGAGAACTCTTCCTGAGATGGTTGTTGACCCCTGAGGTCTATTACTAGGGAAAGCAGGCTTCTGATGAGGTAATGACACTAATGAACATCCACCATCCTGCTGACCCACACTTACAGGTCATCACCACAGGGAAGACTTGTATGTAACATGTCTTGGAGGACCAAGTGAAAGCAGGGGCAGCTAACCAACAGTCAGATCTGTATACGCGTTCCATTTATGATTGTATTTTTTTAGAAGGTAAACACATTTTAAAAATTTATTAATGAGACAAAAATGTGTGCTATGCATTTTCAGATTCTCATGATGATTGATCCATCTGATGATTTTGTCTGATTGTATTTTGGAAACTTTGGGTGACTAATGTGGGGCTGATTCACAACACCAGCACTCCACTGAAGTACTTATTGTGTGGGCAGCGATCACAAACCACAGCGAGAAGTTAACTCCCTTGGATTCTTACTTAGGCACCAGATGACTTCTAGCTACTTTGTATTTACCACTCCTGTGACATAAGCAGTGCTCTCATGCCCATTAATGAGGAAGAGGCATGGCTGAGTTGAAATTTTCACAGCCATATGTGAACACAGATAGTTTGATTTCAGAGATAGGGTGCTGCTTCTTCTTCTTCTTCTTCTTCTTCTTCTTCTTCTTCTTCTTCTTCTTCTTCTTCTTCTTCTTCTTCTTCTTCTTCATGTTTTTGACAAGGAGTCTCAGCCCTTGCTGGACTTAATCTCATCCACTTTGTACCTGAAAGCGTCCTTGAACTCCTGATTCTCCCGCTTCTACCTCCCACATGATGAGATTATAAGCAGGCTTGGACCACCACACCTAGTTGTGGTTTAACTAGCCCAGAACATCCAGGCCTAGGCTGCATTTATGAAATTTTGCTATTTTCAACCTAGGAGACATTAAGGCACTTTGGGAGCCTCCTCTGGGTTGCAATCACTCTAGGTTCGGTGTTCCATTTAAGCTCCTATTGCCCCTCTACGCCCGGGAAAATCCTCAACAGGAAGTTCTGATTTCCCTCTGGTTACTGAAGACTATTTCTGAGAAATTCCTGACTGCTGCTTGGTGGTCCTTATGGCTTTTTGGTTGTTTGATACACTATATCATGCTATAGCCTTGAACTCTCAGTAACCATTCAGCCTCGGCTTCATGAGTGCTAGAATTACAAGTGTGAGCCACTTGGTGGTGACATTTTGATAAGGGATATTGATGAGTTTATTTATGTTAATGGTGCTCTGTACATATTTTTCACAGGATTAAATAGGAGATGTAAACAAACTCTACCCAAATCTTTGAAGCATCAAAGAACAATGACTAGTGTTATATGCTGTATTAAAATTTAGACTTTGTGATGTACTCTTGTGTACATTTTCATAATAATGAAACAAACATAATGAACATAGAGAAACTGCAGAAATTCCACCTGACAGGACTGAATTAAGACAGAGCCTGAGTTCTTGGAACCTGGGTTGTTTGTCTAACACCTGGGTAGGAAACTTTAAGAAGGCAAGGTCAGTGATTGACCCAGCAGTCTCCTGAACTGTATGGGGGATCTCACATCTATCCCTGAATATGGGTATCTCACACAGGCAGTTCTGACATAGACTTCAAAAGATGGCACTTTTCCATCCACCTGTGTTTTAGAGGCTTTGCTGTGCAGTGAGAAAAGCCTATATAAATAGGAAAGGAAGAGGGGTTTGCTTGGCTTGTAGTGTCTGAGTGTTCAGCCCATGGTGGGTTTGCTTTGCCGTTTCTGGGCTTTGATGAGGCAGAACAATACAACCAACAATGTGGTAGAACAAAGTTCCCCTCTTTAGTGTAGACAAGAAGTGTTTGTGTGTGTGTGTGTGTGTGGAGGGGGGGATCTGTGCTAAGATGGGAATGAGCTATATCTTTCCATGGTGAGCCCTGATGACCTACTTCTTTTAACTAGGTCACTACCTCCCAGTAAGGCCATTAAATTAAATTTTTTATTAGGGATTTATCTATTGACTAGGTCATTGCTCTCAGGAGCCAATCATTTCTCTATATGCTCACCTCTGAGCACTGCAGTTCCGACGAGCCTTCTGAGAGGACCCTTCATGGAGAGACCACAATACTCTCTGTCCCTACCATAGATGGCAGAAATGTGGTCATGACTTCTTCACCCCATGTGGAAACCTGGGGCTAAAGTGGGAGGGGCAGGGGCATCATGGAATCTAGAAGCTGGCTGGTTGCATGGCTGAGGGGTGGTGCCAGCACCTTGGATCCCATTCTTGTCTCTAGAGTCCTGTTCCTGTTTCCCATGCTACTCGGTGGTCCCACGACCATTTTCATCTCCGTTTAAACTATGCCCCCTCTGATCTTCCTATTAGATCGATATCTATTTACTTATAATTAGCAATAGTTGTTCTTCCTGCTGTTCCACCAACTAGACCCAAACATCTGCCTTACAGCTTTTGTAATCCATGCTTTATTGAGAGATAATATTGGTATTGTACACATGGTCCCTGACCTCTGTTTCAGTGTCTCCCATATTTAATTCTTTCTTCTGTCTCTTGCGGGGAGTTTCTCACTCCTGCCCAAGGCACTCTTTCCTTGATGCATCAGAGGCTGCCTGGCGTGTTTTCTCCGCATACTCTCTTTTCTTTCTATCTGGATCTTTCATGTGTACTATTTCCTTCTCATTTACACATATTCTTCTAGTTTCTGTTTGTCATCTGTCTTGTCTGTTGACATTTTTTGATCCTGCTTTTTTGCCTCACCTTTAATGTCTTAAAAAGCCAGCTCATTATCGATTCTTTCTCCAACCTTTTTTTCCTGCTCCTCCCCCCATCCATTTCTTCCTCCTTCCCTCCCTCCCTCGGTTTCTTCTTCTTTTTTTATGTGTATACATGTATGCACATGTAGCCCAGAGGTTAACTTTGTGTATCTTCTTCTGTCACTTGATACCTTCATTTTTTTTTTTTTAAATAGCAATCACTTTGTTCTAATGAACTCGCAAATAACAAACACTACATGGCTAGATGAACATTGCCACTCAAACAAACATTTGCCCTGTCTCAGTCTTCACACATCTCAGTGGACGTCCATACAGTCAGAATGGCCATTCGGAAGCTGTGGGCCTTCACTTCGTGTTTTACATCATCACTATTAGTCACATGTT